CCCGACATATGACTTGAACCCATACCCTTCTGATTCAGAGGAGAAAGTGTTACCAACTGAGCCAGGCTGTTAGCGAGGGAATTGACGGAACATTCCTTCTTTTTTTTACACTGATACTTTCCTCCCCCCTCAGTAACCTCACATGCTTAGGGGGAAGTGGGGGGAAGGGGGAATTGTCCCTACATGGAGTAAGTTACCGACCTTTGGAGGCGAGTACGTTGAATGGGCATTTCCCATTCTGAATGAATGTCACCAATATTGAACAATTTTACTGAATGGCCCTGATACACTCAATGGCATCCGCCTATTTGCGCACAGCAGTCAAATGTTCCACGAACAGCCATGAAGTGAATGACCAATTCGGTTGAATGCAATATATCGTGTTCCAGAAACCCGATCCATCTGTTTTTTTTCAACGTGGTTGGAAACCAAGTGCTGCCGAGACATTCACAAAGACACAACAGCCACTTCTACAAGATTATTGGCTCTTCACAGTCTATTCATCACCAGAGACAGAATTCATTATGTGGTACAGCCGGAGCAATGTGCAGACAGAAATTTCTGTAACTCAAAAGCCAGCTGCTCAAAACAATTCCTCTCATTCTTTTCAAAGAGTCGGTTTTCAGGAGGGAAACCTTCTGTCAAGTTCTCGACACAAATGTACGATCCTGAGACAATTAAGAGCAGCTTCCAATGTTCAGACTACTAATGGATTGATTCAAACCATTTTCCCATTAATCCATGAGTCAAGAGTTCATTAAAAGTAGATGGAGTGCCAAAGACATATTGAGGTTTGTAATAACTCCCAGTGCTTTCTGTGTTCTGAGTGGGAGGCGGGTAGCTCTGCATCGAGAGACACACAGACACATTTGATTTGGTAGATTCAGTGCTTGACTAACGTGGTGTTCTGAAATCTCAAATTCTCAGTCGTTCCACATTTTCCTGCAACGCTGTCATTCACTCAAATAGGTCGCTCTATTAATTGATGGCTGTTTGTGGCACATTGCTGCTTCCAAATTGGCTGCCACATTCGCCTCCACTGATAACAGTCACTACATCTTATAGTATATCCTGTGAAGTGCTTTGAGACGTCCTCTTGACATGATATATGGATTACTATATTTAGATTTAAGTTGGGGAAGTTGATCTGAATTGAGGGAATAGCTAGAGTCTGTGGTACATTACGGAGCACTCCTCCATTTTATTTTGGTCAGCCAGGTACCTGACTTGATAACAGTAATCCTTCCATTTGATACAGCACCTTATCATGTCATCAAGTCAACGTGCTCTCCCTTCACTCTCTCCAGTCAAGGAACCCACTGTGATGGGTATGATTGTTGCTGCGTTTTCAGTGCTTAAGAGATTGCTTATGTTGTGGAAAATCTGCTTACAATACCCTGCACAATTTGTACAATAACAAGACAAATATCGAGGCGCTCTGTTTGTTATACATATGACAAAATGCAAATAAATAGATATACATAAAAAGTTTTTATATCTTTTTTTGGACTGAGTATGGGGAGGGAATAGCAAAACACACACAATAAAACGACAGGACAACCATGAGATTTGTTTTTTTTAATAGATCATTTTTTTTTACTAAAAATATACACTTAATAAGACATTAAGCACTTTATCCCTACCAGATCTGTGCATGTCTTTAAGAATGAAACGTTGAAATGAGAAAAAGGAGTCCCCAGTTTAAAAAAGACCAATTAACACGGATTTGTGTCGTGCCTGAGAGCAGCATTAAAGCGATAGCAACAAATGAACATACGCTCTCAGAGGGAGAGAATACAACGGTTTCTATTCAATTTGTGTCAGGAAAATGTTTCGCCCGAAATGCCACTTAGTGAGTGTACAGGACCATTTTATCTTAACGCTTAAACTGTCGCAGAATTGTAGAAAATTCTTGAATCCCGCCTTAATTTGAAAGTCGTTTTGTTCCAGAATTCTTAAAAAGCGGTGGGGGCGGGGAAATCTAGAGTCAATCAGCTCCCGCCCTGCCCCAGTCGCATCTCACACGTAGCCATGTTGTAAGAGGGTGGATCAGGGTTCGTCTGCTCGTGGGATCAAAGCTGTTGCTTAACACAAAATTGGTCATTGAAAGATTCTTCAACGAGAATGGCGTGCAACAAAAAAAACGAGACATGAATTGAAGTCAAATAGTGTGGGCACAGTGGGCGAGCATTTTAAAGGGCATTCCGTGAACTCCTGTTGTGCCATCAAATGGGCAGAGAACTTGGTTGCGAAAGGAGGACAGACGGAGTGTGCCAACTGAGCAAGTGGCTGAATTGGGTGGACTGCTCCGCTCAGCGATGCTGGTATTCTATTGCACTTCAGCAGGTATATTGGGCAGACAGATGCTTTTTACTTTTTATTTTAAAAATAAATGCATGCGTGCCGTTTTAACTGGTCCAACAGACTCTTCGAACTGAATTGCAGCCCAGTTCCCCCATTGTCAGTTGTATAAAAACCTTAAAAACACAATGCGAAGTATTTCATACCACAGAAGCTATTTGAAGTCTGGGTAACCATTTTCCAACTTAGTGAGTTGTCCAACTCAAGATACCTAAACTCATAGGAACCGGCACGATAGGAACACATTGTCATGATTGGGGTTCATGTACCTCAATGAAATGAAGTTGAGTTAGAACTGGAGTTGGAGAGTGTCTTAAGTGTTCATATCACTGATGATTTTCCCACATTACAGCAGAAAAAATACAAAAAAAGGTTGCTGCTGGATTCTTTTCTTAATAAAAAGGACACTTTCTACATGACAGTCTGCGTTACAAAGAGTGCGTTACCAGTGGGTGAAAGTCTGGAAAAGGATGCACTTAAAGCCGTTTTAAATGGTTACATTAAAGGTATTGAACTGAATCAACTTGCGAGGCAAACAATGATTGAAAATATGCTTCGGACAAATCAAAAGTGCATAAATTAACTTCACTTAAACCTGAGGAAATGGGAGCTTGTAAGGAGACAGGATTCAACTGTGCTACACGTTGGAAGCTCGTGTAGTTAGAGAAGTGGGTAGAGTTGCAGTAGGACACAGAGGCTCACAAACAACAGCCAAGCTGATGCTGTAGTTTTAACACACGGTCCTTTAACTATCGGAGTTGGGTTCAAGTCCTCCGCACGCTGCTTTCGGCCAAGTTAAAGAAACCCAACTGCAGTAACTCAGTTAATAGCAGGAAAGAGTCCACAGCCCTGACCTGTTCTAGTTTCAGCACTGGGGCTCAGATTGGAAAAGTAGGACAAGTCACAGTGGCAAAAAGTGCTCTTCTGAGGTTGAGAGTGGGGGAGGGAGGGGGTAAGGCACATAGTTTAGGGAAATTGAGAGCATTTTACCTTTGCAACTGGCCTGATTCCACTCTCTAATACAATACCCATCACCTCGACAAGCATACATAATGGGGCGTAAATGAACGTTTTTGAAAATTATGAATCATTATTAATCTTGCATATAACTGTACAATGGAGAGTTTATTTTCAAAGAGGGACCAACGAAAGATCTTACCCCAGGTACCACTGCCGGGGACTCAACCCCTCTGGAAATAGCTTTGAGTAACTCCTTCCACCTTTGCTGGGAAACGTGAATTGTTAAAACTACAAGAGGAAAGTCAATTTCAGGCTAAAAAAGGGAGAGAGAGAGAATAACAGCTGAAACTACAAGGTCTCCTGGTGAGGCTTTCTGCGGTGTTGCAGCCAACAAGTCCCTGGGATTCAACCAACATTCACTCAGTCTCTGTCCCCGTTACTCACACTTGTGTCTGCTGTACAATTCAGCTAACAGCAGTTGAGCTGGGGACATTGAACTAACTGAGCATTGCTGCGTTTTCAACCTGTGTGCTTGTTGTATTGTGTTCAGCCCCCATTGGAAAGTCTCAACAACAACAACATTCCATTTATAGAGCGCCTTTCACGTCGGGAGGACGTCCCAAGGCGCTGTACAGTTGGGTCAGGACCCGAGCATTGGGGGGAAATGGTCAGGGTGAGAGGAGGGAAGGGAGGGAGCGAGGAGGGGGAGATGGTCAGGGTGAGGGGAGGGAAGGGAGGGAGCGAGGAGGGGGTAGAGAGTCGAGAGGGGAGCTGAAGGCACGGTCAAAGAGAAAGGTCTTGAGACCGGCCCTTGAAGGAGGAAAGGGAGGAGGCGGCGAAGGCACTGGGGGATAGAGTTCCAGAGCCTCGGGGCTGAGAGGCTGAAGGCCCGGCCACCGATGGTAGGGCGGTTGGGGCGGGGGATGTGGAGCAGACCGGAGCCAGAGGAACGGAGGTTACGGGCAGGTAGGTAGGGGGATAGTAGGTCGGAGAGGTAGGAGGGGGCGAGGCCGTGAATGGCCTTGTAGGTGAGGATGAGGATCTTGAATTCGATCCTCTGGGGGATGGGGAGCAGTGGAGGCGAGTGAGGGCGAGGGTGAGAGTGATGTGGTCACGAAGCCTGGTGCGGGACAGTACACAAGCTGCAGAGTTCTGAATGACCTGCAGTGTGGAGGGAGGTGCCGGGAAGGCCGGTGAGGAGAGAGTTCCCATAGTCCAGCCTTGAGGTGACAAAGGCGTGGACCAGAGTTTCAGCCGCGTGAGGGGTGAGGTAGTGCCATAGTCTGGCGACATTCCGGAGGTGATGGCGGTGCCAGTTGTGGCACGGATATGGGGGAGAAAGGACAGCTCAGGGTCGAACAGAACACCGAGGTTCCTGATGATTTGAGAGGTGGAGAGTGCAGCCTTGGATGCTGATGCTGTCAGCGCCTGAGGTGCGGAGGCGCTGACGCGAGCCAATCAGGAGGGCCTCAGTTTTACGCACGTTGAGCTGAAGAAAGTTGTCTCTCGTCCAGGAAATCTCGTAGTATTTTACAAGTAATACAGTTCTCTCTCTTGCAGGCAAAGGGAGCAGAGTTCCAGGACAATACCATTCGCATGACACATGCGTACGGCCCCCTCTTCTCTCCCCCCGTCCCCCCCCCACCAACCCCCACCCCCCCGCCTCGATCACCCGGGGCTCACCAGCTCGGGTGAGAAAAGGTGATGTTGTAGTGCTCGGCCCATCGAGCGAACACGTGCTTCTCTGTGATGAAGCGGTGGTGGTTCCCCATTCTGGCGTGTTCGTGTGTCAGGTACGTCGCGCACTCGTCATTAGATTTTGTGTTGTAGTAGTGATAAGGCAAGTTCTTGTGGTGAGGCTTTCTGTTTGAAGGTAATGGTTTTTGAAAAAAAAACACACGCAAAGTTAGGGTTTCTTCCACCCCAAAACCTTCTTCCGCCTCAACAACAACAACTTGGATTTACACGGCGCCTCTCACGCAGGGTGGCGTCCCAGAGCGCTTGACAATGGCGGAGCAGGGAGAGGGGGGAGGTGATCGTAAGCACGGTCGAAGAGGAAGGTCTTCAGGTGCGACCTGAAGATGGGGAATGAGGGGGCAAGGCAGGGGATTGAACATAAGAACATAAGAAATAGAAGCAGGAGTAAGCCATTCGGCCCCTCGAGCCTTCCCCACCATTTAATAAGATCATGGCTGATCTTCTAACCTAATTCCATTTACCCGCCCTATGCCCCTTAATTCATTCAGTTTTTAAAAATCTATCGATCTCAGTCTTAAATATGTTCAATGATTGAGCATCCACAGTCTTCTGGGATAGAGCATTCCATAAGTTCACTGCCCTCTAAGTGAAGAAATGTTCTCTCAACTCAGTTCTAAAGAGCTGACCTTAATCCTGAGACTATGACCCCTAGTTTTAGATTCTCCAACCAGGAGAAACAGTTTCACACTATCTACCCTGTCAAGACCCTCAAGAATCTTAAAGGTTTCTATAGGATCACCTCCAATTCTTTTATATTCTAGAGAATATAGACCTAGTCTACTGAACCTCTCCTTGTCGGTCAACTCCCTCATCCCAGGAACCAACCTAGTGAACCTATGCTGCACGCCCTCTAAGGCGAGTATATCCTTTCTTAGATAAGGAGACCAAAATTGCACACAATATTCCGAGGCCCTATACAATTGCTGCAAGACTTCCCTCTAAACCCTTTGCAACAAAACGCTAACATGCTATTAGCCTTCCTAAATGCTTGCTGTACCTGCATACTAACTTTCTGCGATTGGTGTACAAGGACGCCTAAATCCCTCTAAAGACTAGCCCTATCTAGTCTCTCCCCCTCTAGAAAATAATCTGCTTTCTATTTTTTTTTTGACCTAGGTGAATAACTTCACACTTCCCCACATTCTACACCATCTGCCACCTTCTTGCCCACTCACTTAACCTGTCTATATCCCTTTGCATCCTCCTCACAGCTTACTTTCCCACCTAGCTTTGTATCGTCCGTGAATTTAGATATATTTCTTCATCTAAGTCATTGATGTAGACTGTAAACAGTTGAGGCCCAAGCACTAATCCTTACGGCACTCCACTAGTCACAACCTGCCAATCTGAGAAGGACCCGTTTATCCCTACTCTCTGTTTTCTGCCCGTTAACCACTCTTCGATCCATGCTAATATATTACCCTTAATTCCATGAGCTCTAATCTTGAGGGAGAGTGTTCCAGCATTTCGGGGCCACTGATGGTGGAATAAAAGATTCCACCTTCTTGCCATACCATCACACTCCACCCTTTCAGAATACCAATCCACTGACCCCAAGCAGTTCTTAAGCGCAGGCTTCCCCTTGAGCTACATTCATTTCTCCTGCTCGCCCCACCTGAATCCAGCTCCAAACAAGGTTCACATAAGAAGGTATTTATGCCACTGAAGTAGATCACTCACCTACAGTGATTGTAAGGAATCATTCCATACACGTGGAGAGAGTCACAGATGCCCACAGCGATCACCATAGTGAACCAGCCTGTGCTCAGCCAGGAATGGGACTGCTTTCTTCACAGCCAAGCAAGCAAGAAAGAAAGAAAAAAAATCTTAATAGTTTTCACACAGCGCTTGTTCGGATCTGGAAGTGCATAGCCTGAAAGGGTGGCAGAAGCCAATTCGATAACAACTTGCAAGAGAGAGATAGATAGATATTTGGGAAGACAAATTTGCAGGGCTATGGGGAGTGAATGGGGGAATGGGACTAATTTGGGCAGCTCTTTTAAAGAGCCAGCACGGACATGATGGGCCAAATGGCCCCCTTCTGTGCTACATAATTCTATGATCCTATGCAGAGTAATATCAATCGTTCCATTTATATTTGTCACTAGCAATGACAACAGAATCATCTCTTGTGAACCTGGAGACTTGACCTTGCTCCTTACAGGTACACCTGGTCAAACCAATTGCCCAACAGGTCAAATCAGTCCCATGAAATGTATCAGTGGTAGATCTGGTACTGTTAGAATATATCAGAGCAGTATTAAAGATTGCTATATGCTATTCATTTCCGTTAATTGGTCATGCATATTGGGTGTGGGTCAAAGGTTTGCTTAAAAATAGCTGTAATATGTTAAGTTGTTATTCAGGCAGGCTGGTCAGACAGATATGTGGCTGCAATGTTTGAAAGATGGTGATTAGTAGTAGTGGTTAGTTATTGTGCAAAATAGTTGGACTAGTGGCCAGACAGAGAATAAACCACAAAGTCTCAGGCAGGAAGCCAAGGCAAATATGACAATAATAAGACCATATAAGAATCAGGCGGTCACAAGAGGATAAAGGAAGTTATCAAGCCTTGTGACCCTGAGAAAAGTCAGGCGGTTTTTATTCTATTACAGCAACTGTGCAGTAACGCTCAAAACAGGATAAGGAACCAACACGGGATGCATGTCTAATTTGGGGAGGGTGAGGAGGAAATACTTTCTGAAATACTAACAGTATGAGCTGGCACTCCTGACTGAACTTGCATAAATAGAGTCATAACACTGAGGTGATGGGATTTTGCTCAATTTGCTCAATGATAACAGTTTCTTTAAACCCAGTGCTATCTGCGCCACATTTTGGAACCCCAGTGCTTTGCACTAAAATCAATAACAAATAAAAGGCACTGAGGTTGGGCTATCAGTACCTGTCCTGTCCAGTCTCCATCTGAAACAAGTCGTCGAATTGCTTCATCCTCTTGGGAGAGACGGTAAACACGGACATGTTGGCGCCGATGGCAATCTCTTGTTTGATAATTCTAAAGACGTTGCTTTTTCCGTCTCGTCGCATTCTGCTGTACGGCCCCCAGAAAATGAAGATGGTCTCCTGTCCTCTTTGGAGAAACTCCTTGCGTCTCTTCAGGAACTGGGAGATACTGGAATGGGCCACGACCCTCAAGGTGGTCCTGTTCCCAATGTCCTCCTCATACCCCGTTATAGGAGCATCGTTCATCCGGATGATGCACTCAGTCTGGTCAATCTCGGACCCTAGGGAAGTGCCCAATGTCTGACTGGAACTTGAGATCAGTGCACATTGACTGCAGTGAAGTTTCAGTGTCTGGAACCAACAGTGGGTGGGGGGGTGGGAGAGAGGGGAAGCAATGCAATAGCAATAATAATAATATTAATAATTATCCTTGCATTTAATATGGTGCCCTATCATGTCACTGAGATGTCCCAAAGCACTTCACAGATTATATAATGTAAAGTCAATGTGTATTTTGTGGGTGAAACGCGGCAGCCAATGCGCACAGCATTGAGACAAACAGTAAACTTAATGCTTCCCCAGAGATTTTTGAAGCGTCTCATTGCCTAATTTGAGCCTGATCCTGTCCTTAGCGGATGTCATCACACTTTCCAGCAGGAGTTATAATAGGTTATAATAAGGATAATCTTTGACATTTGATATAGCGCCTTATGCTGTGCGCAATTGGCTGCCGTGTTTCACCCACACATACACAGTCGGTCACTTCAATCCACAACTGTGTGTGGGACACTGCTGTGCACAGTTGGCTGCCACGTTTCATCCATAGAATATATACAATCAATTCACTTTACAGTGTATTCTGTGACGGGCTTTGAGACGTCTCAAAGATGTGATGAGGGGCTATATCAAATGCAAGGGTTATTATTATTATTTATTATATCGTCATGGGTGGAAGGAATGGGACAGAGAGAAAAATTCACCTTGTTCCCAATGACTGGAATGTATCCATCCTGTACGTTCCACTCCTTCAGGTTTGATGACTGTCGGGCTATGAACTTGTAGCCAACGTCCTCCTTGAGGTAAAAAGAACTGTTGCCACTGGTAGAGCTGTAGACGATCAGCAGAGTCGTCAATACAAAGATCACAGTTGCAATCATAAACCTCTGAGCCTGGAAGAAAATTCAGGTAGTGGGGGGGGGGGGGGGGTGGGGAGAGAAAAAAAACATGGCCAACTTTATCCTCTGAGCTGAGATTTTGTCAAGCTCAACTTGCCGCACATTGTTAATAATTATAATCATATTCCTCCCATTTGATGCAGCGCCTTGTCACGTCTTCCAGATGCCTCAAAGCGCTTCGCAGAATATACTAAAAAGTGAATCGACTGTATATATTTTGTGGGCGGAACGCGGCAGACAATTGGCGGGTGTGGCGGTGGGGGGGGGGGGGTTCTCCACTGATAATAGTCTCAAGCACCTGTACTTTGGACTAATTGTTGATGAAATGGCAGCCAGCCGGAAACGTGATATGACAATTGAAGAGAGCCGTTGATATAAAAAGCAGTCAGTCAAAAACTCACCTTATTGTTCATGTCTTACGAAGCTGGCAGTGGTACTAGTCTTCTGAATATTGCACCCTCGCCCTAAATATACCTGTTTGAATGAAACAAAGAGTTGTGAATTCCAAGGAGTGTCCCATAAAGAGGTTGTAGGTTACTGGGTTTATTTTGTTAACTCATTAGTCATTCACCTCATGTTTATGGGTCCTTGCTGACCGCAAGTACTGTGAAGCTCTTGGATACATTTCAAATTGTCAAGACTATTCAAATGCAAGTTTTTCTTTAACGAGGTCCTGTACTTTCTTTTTAAAAAAAATGTAAACGGAACATTCCAGATTTCTCTGCACTTGCCGTTTACTATTTGAGGTAAAGAGATTCCCTTCTGGTCTCTTTACTTTCCGACTGCAGAAATTAAGCTTCACTAATCTTTCCCTGAAGTTCATTCGGGAATCAGTATTGTTGCTCTGCTCAGAGGGTGAGGTTTGGTAAATGCAAATCATACAAAATTACAATACAAAATTACATTTGTATTGTACATGACTATAATGGAGGCATGTGGAATCGTGGAAGAGGTAGCAGAATGGATTAAAAGAATGGTTAGGGAACTAAAAGCAAAGGGTAGGAGTATCTTCTCAAGCTGACAAGAGGTAGGACAAGAGGTCTGTACCGCAATTATTCACCATGTACGTAAAGGATTTGTAGAGGAAGTGTGGTGTATAAACTTGCAAATGACATAAAACTTGGTGAGGGGGACCATGGCAAATAGTGAAGGGGTTTGCCAAAGAATGCAGGATTACATAAAGAGGCAAGCGAAGATAGACAGCAAATGAAGTTGTTAAGACTCCAGCAGTTACCCCAACGCACACTCTGGGGGTCCTCAAGCCTTGGCTCTTGCCAACCTGCGCCTAATACTTTCCGGAATTAGGTAAGCAACGTGCGTCCCTCCAGGGAGAGAGAGCGCATTCCATTCCAACAACCTATCTCTGGATTTCCATGTGTGGATAGGCTGCGTGGAAATCTCAGCTTGGTTTGGATGCTCTTAAGCAACAGTGATGGGTTTCCTCATTTGTCAGACACCCGGCTGAGCCCCCCCCCAAAAAAAATCGTAAATCCCCCCAAAGAAAGGAAGGGAATTTGGAACACAAGCGATAACATGTGTAGAAAATGTAATTTCCCATCTAACAGCCAACGAACAAAAAAAATGCTGGTCCGATATTCAAAAACTCGACTTGCGCTTCTCCCTGATTGAAATCGCCCGCCTTGAAGGACACAAATATAAAATAATAAAGCTTCACAGAGTGCTTATCGCGAAGCGTGACGCTCTGATTCGCACGAAAGGTGCTGCACAATTCCAATTTGTTGTGCGTTTTGTAGACGAACGAGGCAGCCAACCTGCACACAGCGATGTCCCACGAACAGCCATGAGGTGAATGTCTAATTCGGGATTGTTGGCAAGGGTTACCAGGAGAGGCTCCCTCTCCTTACAAATTGTGCCATGGGTCTTCAACAGCCACTCGAACAGGCCAGACAGGACCTCGGTTTAACATCTCTTCTGAACGGCAAGCATCTCCGCCAATGCATCGCTCCGACCTTCTGCGTTGGTGCGTCAACCAAGCTGGCGAGTTCAAAGTCCTAACATGGGGGCTTGAACCCTCGTCCTTCTGACTCAAGAGGTGGGTGAATGCTACCGACTGAGCCATATGTTTCCTATCCATCCATCCATCCATCCATCCAATAATCAATCAATGAATCAATGAATCAATGAATGAATGAATGAATGAATGAATCAATCAATGAATCAATGAATCAATGACTGAATCAATCAATCAATACACAGATGTCAGTCAGCCTGGCTGATTTATTATGTATCAATAAAATAAATAAATAGACAAACAACAACAAAAAAACAACTATACACTGTACACAGCGAAACCAGTGGTTACAAAACAAAATACTGTAGCAAAATAAATAGTCCTCCTTGACATTCACACAGCATTGGAGGCTTATTCCGGGCATATTCATATATATATAGAGAGAGAGAGAGAGAAAAATGTATAAAATGAAGAGATGGTGAAGGCTGCAAATATTGTTGACCCTGATATTTTTTCTATCCCCTTCCCCCCCAGCCCCCAGCCCCCCATCATCATCTCCTGGGAGATATTTTCCTCTCTCTCTCTCTCTCTCTCTGTCTCTCCCTCTCCTGCAGACGCAGAGGGTCACTGTGAAGGCAACTGAGATGGGAAGACAAGATGCGCAACATACACCCACTCATCCCCTCCCTCCATCACTCCATCACTCCCTCACCCCCTCCATCACTCCCTCACCCCCTCCATCACTCCCTCACCCCCTCCATCACTCCTCACCCCTCCATCACTCCTCACCCCTCCATCACTCCCTCACCCCTCCATCACTCCCTCACCCCTCCATCACTCCCTCACCCCTCCATCACTCCCTCACCCCCTCCATCACTCCCTCACCCCCTCCATCACTCCCTCACCCCTCCATCACTCCCTCACCCCCTCCATCACTCCCTCACCCCCTCCATCACTCCCTCACCCCCTCCATCACTCCCTCACCCCCTCCATCACTCCCTCAGCCCCTCCATCACTCACCCCATGGCTCTGTGGTACCAGCCCCCGGCCCCCTGGCTCAGTCGCTGTCAGTCTCCTCCTCCTCCTCTCCTCCTCCCTGCTGCCTGGGAGGGAGGGAGGGAGGGAGGGGGAGAGATGATGAACTCACTGCATCGCAACTGCAGGTCGCAAATTGCCTCTTTCTTTTCTCCTCCTCTTCCTTTCCCCCTTTTCACTCTCCTCCCACCCTCCAGCCCGAGCAGAAAGGCATCCGCGCAGCCTCACAGCTCCCTCTGCTATTTGTGCTTCCGCAATGTTCAGCCCTCAGAGGGACATCCTCTCCACATCCTCTCCACATCCTCTCTCTGTCTGTCTGTCTGTCTGTCTGTCTGTCTCTCTCTCTGTCTCTCTCTCTCTGTCTGTCTGTCTCTCTCTCTCTCTCTCTGTCTGTCTCTCTGTCAAGTCTGCCAGTCAGTGGGAATCCGATCAGGAAATGTAGACCCAGCCCTCCGCTGTTTGCCAGTCAGTTGGCTGCCGCCTTTCGGCCACGGAGCAGGCAGTCGATTCGCTCGGCGCTATGTTCCGCCGAGCGCTTTCGAGGCGTCTCGCAAAGCGATTATTATTAGCGGAGCCCCGGAGCGTGTTGGTTAGAGCGCTCGCTTCACAGGCGAGAGGACCCGGGTTTGGTTCCCGGGCGGGGGGGCGAAACTTCAGCCAAGTTTCCTTACTCCACACGCCCCTGTTTACCTGACAGCGAGTAGGATCGGTTGTTTGTCGATTGGCGGATCCCTGCTTTGCTATAGGGATAATAATCCATTAAAAAATATATATTAATTTGGTCGCTCAATCCAGGACTGTCTGTAAGGCTCTGCTGTGCGCAGTTCGAACATTTAACATACCCGAAGGCTACACCGGATACCCTAATTTGCATTATTATTATGTTGGGCAAGTTTCCACACTCCACACACCTCTGTGTACTCAGCAGTAATAATAATAATAATAATAATAATATTATTATTATACTCAGCAGTAAGCAGGTATCCAGCTCTTTGGATCGCTTGTTTGGGGTTAATAATTCCTTAAAAAAATGAATAAATCGGTTACTTGAATCCACGACTGTTTGTGGGCGCAATTGGCTGCTGCATTTGGCCAAAAAACATACAGTCGATTCACTTTACAGTAGATTCTGTGAAGCGCTTTGAGACGTCTTGAAGACGTGATAAGGCGCTGTATCAAACACAAGGGCTATTGCTATCATCACGTCTTCAAGACGTCTCAAAGCACTTCACAGTAAGCGAACAAAACTGTTCCATTTGACACTAATTAAAGAACCAATTTGAGGTATTCCTTAAAGTGTGGTCCAAACAGAGCACGGCACAGCCTGATTATATCTAGGATCCAAACTCAACTGATTTTGCAATCCTGTTTGCCTTGTTAATTGCTGCCTCACACTGTTCAGCCATTAATAATAATAATCCTTACATTTGATATAGTGTCTTATCCTCCTACAGTCCACCCTCCCTGATCCCAACCCTCCCCCTACCCCCACACACTCGGATGTCCAAATCCCTGACTGTCCAACGTGTTGGGATGCCCTCCCGACGTGAAAGGCACTATACAAATGTAATTTTATATTGTTTTGTGTATTATCACGTTGTTGAGATGTCTCAAAGCCCTTCATAGAATATATATATGTGTGTATATATATTTTTGGGGAGGTATTATTATCCCCCAAAAACGATCAACCAATCAACAAACAACCGGGTTTCTACTAACTGCTTGATAAACAGAGGTGTGTGGAGTAAGGAAACTTGCCAAAGGTTTCGCACCGTTCGAATCAAACCCTGGTCCCCTCGCTATGGGACTCACTGATTGAGCAGCAGGTTCTTACCTCTCTGCAAGACCATCAATGTGGATTCCAAGCTCTGGATATCTCAATGAGCGTTCACGACCTCGGACTCCACGTAATGTCTTCCAGCAGCTGTCGTCCCAAGCCTCAGAGTTTCCACATCAGCTATCAACCCGGTGGGAGGATCTACGCAGAAGAGTTTGTGACATGTTAGCCACCCTACGCGTCTCAAGATCGAAGTCCAATGCCACATACCAGTTCTACTAGCAAAAGTCTTTAATCCAGGTCTTCGAGATTAGGGCCTCAACAAGTAAACATGGCTGCTGTGAAGCCAATTCTGCATCCTGTTTCACGGTTGTCATAGTCACCCCTTTGTTTTCTGTGACCAGTCTGTTTAATATATTTTCTGTAAAGTTTATTTGTGTCACTAAAAGCATTAACCAGTCTGAGTGCAGTTAGACACTACCGATTACGCTCGGGGAAATTCTGAAAGTGCCAAAGTTCGATAGAACTGGAACCCGAGTGTTATAAATATATTGAGTAACCCTTTAAATAAATTTCTTTCAATGTATTTAAAGTTGTTTTTGAGACTTATGTTGCCACCAAGTCTGACTCGACGGCAGTTGCATCATTTCGACGACGTACAAAGGGATTTTAATAGGGAATCTTGTGATTTTCCCGCATTGGTGGGAGGTGCCGTCCTTTGGATGAGAGATTAAACCAAGTCTGTGCGTTCAGGTGGACGGTAACAATCCCACAGCACTACTCAAAAAGAGAAGGAAGTTTCTCCCGGAATCTTGGCCACTAATCCCTCCAGATAAAATTGGTCATTCATCATATGCTTGTTTGTGGGACGCTGCTGTGCACAACTTAACTGCCACGTTCGCTGAGAAATACAGAGTTCGAAATACGCTTCGCAGAAAAGTAAAGTCAAGGTGTGTTGGGACACAGTAATAAAGGCACAATATCAAATTAAACGATTATTTTTATTACTGCACAGCCAGTCCAAGGTGCTTTGAGAAGCTGTGTCAATATCCCAGAACCGGGGCTCAATGGTTTCTTTTTATGGCGAAGTTGTTTATTCTGTCGGATTTTTTTTTTATTTGTCAGCTTTATTCAGCGCGGCCGAGGTCTTTGTCTCCTCCTCCGACTCAAGCTCCTGCCAAAGAAAATACTGTATGCGTCGTTTCTTCCCCAGCAGGACCGGCTTGGAGGGCCATCTTTTTTTGAAGACCAATACATTTTCTGACCACAGGGTGGTGCCCGACGTCCGCCTCGCTCACTGCACCAAATGCCAAGCCCGAGGTCTGGTGTCCAGGCCAGAGCGGGGATTGGCTGCGCGTGAAGCTTCTGTGGTTTTGAGGCGGGTCGTTCGTTCAGTGACAACGTGGCATTGGGTGGAGGGGGAGGGTGGGGGGGGGGAGGGTGGGGAAGGAAGCTTTAATAACAAACTCTTGCCAAATGGAATGGTTCAAAATCTTTCAGGTGACGATCCCACCGCACGTGCTCAAGAGTTGTCCTTTTAAACATAGAATTATCAATGCCGAATTCTCCCGCTTCATCCTTAAACAGCGAGTGGTTCTGCAGTTCCAAATTCCGACAATGTTGGATCAACCGAATGGGGTCACATTTCCGGATTAGGATGGTACCGCTATTCTGGTCACTCGCTTCATGACTCGGGAGCCAATGTCAACCGCCAGAAAGGCCAGGTGATGTATTTTGGAGACTGGAAAGTACGCACTCCCTTACCTTTTGCGGAGAAGCCAGATGCCCCCATCAAAGTCCTCGGCATCTGGTTCAGGGCTGCCGGGGCGTGCCGAAAATGCTAGGAAGAGCGTCCAGGCATCGTGAGAAAGAAACTGGTAATGTGGCGCCAGCGCTCGCTGTCCCATCACTGGGAAAAATCTGGTGATAAAGTGTGAGGCGCTCTGGGCGTTACTGTACGTGGCCCTGGTCTGGCCTTTGACCAGGAACATTGCCACTGCAGTCACCAGAGAGGTCCTCCACCTGATCTGGGGGTCCAAGATGGATCGTGTCCGCAGAGACACAATGCACAAAACCCAGGGGACCAACCCCCGACTCAGGGCTTTCATGCAGGGTCAAGGTCTGGGCCGGTCAGCACGTTGCCCTTGGGCCGGCTGCAGGGGCCCAGGAGACCGTGGACCAGCTCTTCCTGGTGTGTTGGTACCCAAAGGCGGTTTGGAAAAAGATGGAATGGATTCTCTCGCGGTTCGTCCCTGGGGACCGGCTGTCACGGCGCTCGGTGCTGTACGTCCTGTTCTCGGGCTCTCCCAGAGAGTGCCTGGAGGATCATAACCTATGTAAAGGAGGCCCTTTGGCTCCCGAAACCAGGTGTTCTTCTGGCAGAACGAGGGACGCTCAGCCTCGCGAGGGCTAGGATCAGGGACTGTATACTGAGGGACAAGCTGAAGTTCGGCTCAACAATGGCAAAGGCCAATTGGGGCCTGACCTCCAGCAGGAACTGCTCCGGCACAAACCGCTCAGGGCGCACCCACCGGGTAGCTCACGAGCGCACGCAAAACTGATTAAAGTTAGGGTACAGGAGGACGCTCAAGATGTAACTAAAGAGCGCCCCGAAAATGTATGTACGGTAAACGTGTGCGTGTACGGTGCACATCGGGGCGCCTTCCGAAAATTTTTTTGTATCGGCAGAATAGGGAACAATTGTAACAGAAGATGTTGTGTTTGTTTCGGTTTTCTGTTGTAACAAATAGTATATTCATAAATAAATATATATATTTAAAACAAAGTCACTCGCTTTGTGGACGTTTGTCGCATCCTGCTGTGTCCAAGTTGGCTGCCACGTTTGGACTGCAAATGCACAGTCACTACACTTGGCGGCAATTATGTTTCGATATGAAGGAAAAGCCTTTGTGATGGAACGAGCTCTATTGGCTGAATGGCCTTCTCCTTTGTCTAAATTCCAATATATGCCATGTATTAAACTTGACAAGCATTGGTGTCCCAGAATGAATTACAAATGTACAAAGAGTTAGCCTCCACAAAGACACTGCTTTATTTAAATACAGGAGATTCCAGTTACACAGATATGTCATTTGATATTTGCCACAGTTCACAATTCAAAGCATAAATACACCTTTTAAATTTATTTCACCATAAATGTCATATACACAGATTTGTGGATAGCATATATTTATTGTATTGTATTAATATACACTGTTACTCGTTCGGAGTCTACATGGGAAGCATGAACGGTATTTCTTAGTCCTGAAAAAGCACAGATGATACACACTGAAGATATGCACCCGTATCACAAACACGAAAGGTTGGTTTCATTATACAGACAGAAAAGCCAATGAGAGTACATTGGAAATCGGTTTGTCGGATATGTTTGACTGCTATTTTTGCAGAGGTTCCAACGCATAATATATATGTATATTATATATAATTGGTTCAAGACAGGACACCAAGGAGACAAAACGACAGCTAAAACAGACTAATGTTCGAAAGAGGGCATTGGGCTTTCAGCCTGTGAGAGGGTGTTGCTTGGTCTTCTGTAAATAAATCCAGAGGAAAGAGGAGAGAGAGTAAAGGGGGGAGGGAGGGAGAGAGAGAGAGAAAAAAACAATCAAGCCAGCGATGCTTTAAATCGGAACAATTTTGCGGTATTTCTTAAATTGGGTTTCTTAAGTAAGAAATCCGGAAGTGCATTGTGCAGACCTGAGAGCTCCATTTCCGCCTCCATCTATCACCAGAACATATCCTGTTTCACCCACAAAATACACAGTCCCTACACTCTACAGTGTATTCTGTGAAGTGCTTTGAGACGTCTCAATGACGTGATAAAGTGATATATCAAATGTAAGGATTATTGTTATCATTATCCCTCGGACGCACTTGACAGTCTACCGGAAGGAGTTCCCGTTAGGATTTCTTAAATAAGAAACCTCACAAAATAGCCCCCTTCCCTCCTCCCCGCCCCACCCCCACCACCACAGACAGTAAGAATGACAACACTACAAGGGGGAAAAGGGCAGGGATTAGATACAGGGATTGCAAGCAGGCTCATTACGTCGTAAGGAATTATTATTATTGTTATTATTAATAAGGAAGATGTGCAACATCGACCACATCCTCCCACAGTAGAACTGAAGAGGTTTAAATAAAAACAAAACGCACATTTTAAAGCAAAGACATTTTGCGAAAATTCACTGAACTATTTTGTGCAACGCAAAATATGAGTTAAGCCTCAAATTAAAAAAAGCCATGAAAATGGCATAGATTATACTGCAATGGATCAGGATACCTCCCTTTCCCACACATACACACACACCCCCTCTTTCCAATTCTCTGAATCCTGCATTCAGTCAATGGGGGGAAGGAAGCTGGTAAGTTTCCTACATTTCCTTAAAAACTAAAGGGATTAAGGGATATGGGGATAGAGTGGTTAAATGGAAGTAGGTTAGAAGATCAGCTATGATCTTATTAAATGGCAGGGGAAGCTCGAGGGGCCGAATGGCCTACTCCATAAGAAAACTATTTCTTATGTTCTTATGAATGGTTATGTCTTCTTTTACTGGAGCTGAGAGTACAGTCTAAGGGCCTCTGACAACTTGAAAACCTTTCGAAAATAAAACACAGCAAGAGAAGTGATTTTTTTAAAAATCAGTCGCAGATTCTTCTAGATTTAACGCAGGATTTTGAGGTCAGTCGAGATGCGAGTAAGTACGGTACAAAGGCACATACATACAGAGCAGTGTTACTCAATAGCTCTGTGTCAGGGTCTGCATTCCCAAGCAGGGGCTTTCTTTCTCAGCAACGTTCCAGGGGTGGCCTTGGATGTGAACTGACTCCAGGTTTCTCTCACCTCAGGCCCACTGAAGGTCACATACTTGCCCCTCAGAAATCATGTGTGTTTGTGTTTGGGGGGAGGGGGGGAAATGGGAGGCTACTGGAGCCTTTGCCCAAAGTTATCAAAGTCAGCGAGAAAAAAAACAATGGTGAAGGGGCGAGGTACATGAATGAGCAGGTGCCCAAGACTTATGAATATCACTAGCTTTAAACCACAGGGAAAATATGGATGCACTTAACACATCTGTCATTCCCATCAATAAAGATTAACAGCTCCACAATGTTGGAGTTACACTGGGAACACCTCAACTCTGCAATCGATTGCTGATCGCAGTCATTAGCATTGGATGGCAGAGGAAGAAGGGACAGCCACTGCGGCAGTAATGGCTTGGTTTCAATCTCCACTAGCATAGAGGGAAAGGCAGGTGCAGGCAGGCATGTGTCTCGAAGACGTGATAAGGCGTTATATCAAATGCAAGGATTATTATTATTATGTGCAGCGAATTCCAGTTTAACCATCTTGGGAACTAAGCAAATTGAATCGCAATGTTTTACTTCAATTTGCTTTTTGATAGCAAGTTTATTTTTTTTTGAAATCAAAGGGACTAGGGTTTCTCGCGAAAGAAATGAGTGAAAGGAATACAAAGACCGAGAGCGTATTTGCCTCAAAAGGCTCTTGAGGCTCAGAGATTTTGCTGCCTTTTTTGGACTGCAAGAGAGAGAGAAAAGGATAAGTGTCGGCATTACCAATGCACAGCCCGCTGTGTGAACAAACCCAATTTAGGTTTTAATGTAACCTGGAATTCTGATTAAAGAACAGAAACTGTCACAAGGTGCATACCATGAAACACTTCTGTTATTATTAACACTACGCCATGGGTACAAATGGAGATTGCAAAGCACTAGTCCAGAGAGAGACTTGATCACACAAGTGTCTATGTCTATTCTACACTGATACAACAGGCAGGCAGGACTGAAGAGCACAGCAGCCTCCCCAGGAACCAGGGGTCAGATATCTAGCAGGCTTGGTTCTGTCGGTCGGATAATTGTGGGTCGGGTGGGTGAGGCGAGAGGTCTCCTGCTGCAAACGGCACAAGAAACAAACAAGAAAAAAAACACAGGCAGAAAATAAAAGAAATACAGGATATCAGTCAACGGTTACAACTCAAGCTTCACTCCCCCCAGTCACACAAACCTATCCATTGGAGTTCTTCATTGGGAAGCCCCAAGCTGGCAATGTATTAAGGCTTCCTATTAAGAAATACCACAAGCCACGCATCCAACATTTTCATCTAACCCCTAGTCTGACTGGGCTTAGTTGGTATATTTACACTAAGGCTCTCCCTAATTCTGCGCTCAAAGTCTGACTTGAATTGTCTGCTTGTAGTTACCTCACTTTGTGCCTCGTGGCTTTTTAAAATCCTGAATTATGTCTCCTCTCTGAACTGTTTTGTAATGAAGACAAGGAAAATTCCGCAAGCCTTTCCTCAGAGCTTAGAGCCCTGACTCCTGCAATCTGAAAGCATCAATGTAAAACTGGCTACTGTGCAGTTATTATTGAGCAAAGCTGCGGTGTATACTCAGGGCTAATCCCTTTTAGTGCCATAACATTCACAGGCTATCGCCGGCTTTCCCAATTCATAGGGTGCACTCTCTCTCACGTCGCTGTACCTTTTCTTTCTACAGCAAAAATAAGTTGGTCAAAGGTAAATATCAATCAACCCTACATCAACCTGTAAAACAGATCCACTCACACAAAGCAGAGGATCTATTCGTCTCACTCACTCGCACTGCAGAATCCCAAATGGACTCAACTCCTTCTCACTCACGCATAACATATAGAATTCTAAAGGGCTTAAGTCCTTAAATTCTTACATCCTTACACTTAAGAGGATAAAGACATAAGAATGTTCTGGGCAAAAAAAGACCAAGGTCCATCGAGTTCGCCTTCCATCATCCTGGCAGTCACTTGACATGTCGTGTCCCAAACTATACACTGTATAGACGGATAGTATTTTCTAGCAGAAATCAATCTAATTTTTTCTTGAATCAAACAAAATTTTCTGCTTCCACTGTATACATTTTAAAGAACTCATTTTACACACACTACATTGAATTCTAATGGACCAAACCACTTCCGATTCAGTCAGGAATGATCTTCAATTGTCCTTTGTCTTTTTTTTACCAACACCTCATTAAATAAATAAAATGCAACACAAAGCTAAAGGCTCACAAAGAGATTGGAGCTGATTTCAGAATCTCTGCTTCCAATTTATCTCTTGTTTTGCTGAAAGGACATCAAAATGGTTAACATTGCAAAGCGCAGAAAGGTCCCTCTTTTCTATGTGATCTAAAGGGACTCTGGTCTAATCTATGTAGCACAATCCAGCTTCAGTAGAAGGTAGAAAGCTTTCACTTTGGTAAGTTGCATTGTGGCTGTGTGAGCAATTTCTCACTCAGCAAACAAACCTGACTGACATTTTTGCAATTCTTCACTGTTGGCAGTTTCAGACTAAACTCAATCCAGGGCTGCGTGAGAGATGAACCTACTACAGACAGCCTGTCCGAGGCATCAATTCCCCAGAGCAGTCGTTTAGATGCGAGCCATGTGAAAGCATGCATCATTCAGGACAATGCGGGAGAAATACATAGGATCCCGGTTGAAGTCTATCAACAGAAAGGGTTGCTGGAGACTTTACAGTGGGGAAGATGCTTACAACATGAGAGTTATTGTTGAGACAGACACAGGCCCCAGAGGTAACAAAGACTAGTGTCTAACCAGCTACATACACCACCTAGTTCATCTTTTGTGCTCATCAAAGTTATTAATAGAAGCGCTGAGAGAGGGGAATATATTCTCGCTTTGTGTTCCAGTGACAGCTCAAGTGTTCTCAGGAGAGATAGACAAGCTGGTAACATCCACTACAATAATAGGTCAGATATTTCACTTGCCACATAAACCGGGACCCTCAACAATGTGCTTTATAAATGGTATTGTCCTCATTGTAATAAGTGCGCATGATCAGAATCGCTACACTTTGAACATCAGCCTCAATGTACCTTGAGCTTGACTGCAGTAGAGTGCTCCCAAAGACCCAAATCATTCACTTGTTGGCCGATGGTCGAAATTGCTGTGTACAAATTATCTGCCAAGTTCGCCTCCAAACGCAGTTTGGTTTACAGTCAACCTAAGTATATTTGTTGACCTATGTAAAACTGCTGTAAAGTTTGCATTGACTGTGAAGCTTTGAGATGGTGACTTTATACACTACATCAAATGCAAGAGCTGTTACTACTATTATTGCCTTAAAATGTAGGATTGTGCTGAACTTTGGAAAACCATCGAAACTGCTGTCTTAATTTGGCAGCCGTTTCTAGCACTGGATGCTAAAATTGAATCGGCTTCCAAGTAAAAACTGAGTTTAAGACTGTTTTCCAAAATTCTGCACAATCCGAGATTTTAAGACAATGCTCTCACGTTGAAGAACATAAGAAATTCGGGCACCAGATGCCTTCATCTGACACCCTTGACCTAGAAAGTGGAGCTGAAATCTAACGCACATCACTCTTAATGCGAGCAGCTATGTTCAGAATGGCTGATTAATTCCCTTCCCTTGGGCTGCAAACAGCAAGGAACAAAAGATGTGCAAAGTTGCACAATGTTGTCGTACGGCAATTAAGAAGAAACAGGGAACATTGGCAGAGAGCAGCAAAGGCATTTTGGCTTCGAGCGTGGCAGATGTTGGCTAGCAAACTCTATTGGTAATGGCAAGCTACTGCATTTTCTTGATCTCACAAGATATGAGCATCTGCTGCACATAGTAATGGCATGGTTAGTGATTGCGTTAAAGGCTATTCAGTTCATGGCACGCGAGTTTAAAGGTACCACCTTTATCTTGGGGCGGGATAGGGGAGGCTGGAATAGACAAGCATTTTTTTACACGCACAGTGATATGTGTACGGCAATTTGGTACAAATTGTGTCATTCGGCAGGTAGCTGTCTCTGGCAAGCTGCTTTATAAAGTTTTGCTTGCCAGAGACGTTTGGATAAAGGCAGTGTCCCTTTAACTGATCAGGCTGGCATGGAGGTGTGAGGAATGAAGGGTGAGGGAGCAATCATGCCAATGGAAGAGACTGAACAACAGCACGTACCAGTCTAGGGTTAATATCCTCAGGGATCACTTATCATTATTCTGAAAGATAATATTAAATAAGACATGGAAAACGGGCAAGGTTAAAGGTTACAAAACACCGTGACAAAAGGTCACCAAATGAATTCCCCCTCCTCCTCCTCCTCCTCCTCCTCCCGTCACTGACCCCCCCCCTTCATTTTCATGTTCATTCCCCAACATGTTTCTGAGCCAAAAAAGCAGTACAGTTGCCTGCAGAGGACAAACTTCCGCAGTCCAGAGTCCCAACAACCACCAACACAGTCTATTGACTTGCAGTGTTTGCCCTCCGCAGGAACCTGGACTGATCTTAGACCAGTTCAGCTCAGTCGAAGCACATGCATGTTAGTCCCTGCGAAGACACAAATAATGTTATATAACAGAACGCATGTGTGATCTGTGACATTTTGTCACGAGGCATCCTCAGAAAAGACAGTACAAAAAAAACACACTGCTGTTAAGGAAACTCTCCCACGAAACATTCAACAGCAAATTGCCGAACAAATTAATCAGGACATTGTGTCACATGCTTTGGAGCAGGCTCGCTGGACTTCTTAGGCACCCTGGTGAACAGGTCAGTAATTACTTTCATTATTATTATTATTGCTGTGTCATGAAGTCAGGAATATAACCCTCACTTTCACATGTCTTGTAAAAAAAGATTTCCCCTTTCTAACCCTCCTAAGGTGTTCTATCCTTTCACAGCTGATGTGCTGGAGCATGGTTCCATGAATGAGTGCTGTTCACTCAAGTGGCCATTCTACCTAACCCTGTAAGTGTTCATCTCATGTGTTGTGACGGTGATTCCTCTACCTCACCCACCAACGATACACCAACTTACCACAGGCTGCCAGTGAACAGCGATCAGAGTGGGAACTTCGCCTGATATCGCTCCTCCTTAATGCACGGGTTTGAGTCCAATTGTAGCACCAGCCGAGGTCAGCTAGCTCAGCAAAGACTGGATCTTAACCGGGGTCCTTTCAGTCATTAAGGTTTAGTTTAACATCATGGACATTACCAGTGGGCCCTCGGGAAATGGGACTAAAGTAAGTAGGACCGGGGGTGAGATGGAGTTGTTTTGGTGAAAAGAACAAGGGATTAGAGTACATAGCACTAGTGGAGGAGTTAAGAACACAGTCACTATGAGCTACAAGTACTCCTTCTGTGCCGGAAATAATTTCCTTGACGTCTTTGGGAATACTGGTACTGCCAGAGGAACAGATTATTCTGCCATTGCTTGCTGTTGCACAATCACTCAAAGGCCAAGATTTCGATTGGAAAGTTCATCACCAGAGTCATCTGTGCACACTCGCTCCATCATAGGCAGCGTCCATCTGCAACTCTGTGTTTTTTCTGGCTGTCAAGTGTTTGATTTGTTTTTAAGGTCATGGGGACAGAAGAGCAGTGAGTAAGAGAGAGAGAGAGAGAGAGAGTACTCTGATAGGTATAGCCCCATGTCAGTTCCATGTAAAAGGAAGATTTCTGGCATCACCAAAGTTGTGCTGGTGTCTACAGGAGGTTAACCAGAAACTGGACAACTGTCCCACTCTGTCCTATTCCCAAGTCCCTTGCACTTGAGTCAAGTCATGTAAGTGAAGCAGAGTGACACGATTCTCCATGTACCAATACACTTTGACACCCTGTGGTGAAATGTAGGATTGCACCCGAAAAATATCTAATTGTTGCCCTTATTGCCCTTTCTTCCCCTCTTCCCCCCCCTCCCCCCATCCCCCCCAACAATTAAGTAATCCCACATCCATTGTAAGAGTTGGGGGGTAAGAGACAGTGTCACACCTGGAAGAACTGCCCGAGAGAGGTATCATTGAGTGAGGTTGGTTCGTCCGGTTCTAGAAGAGGGGATGGAGAAGGCATTCAGAGCTTCACCAACAAAAGCTCCCTCGATTGAGCAATAAATTTCACCCATGCCTCACCCCAACCACTTCCAACCCACCCCAGCCCCAGCCCACACCTCGCCCCCAAACACACCGATTCCACTCGGAAGGAAGGACTTACCTTGGCACACCAGGTGGAGCTCGATTGGGCCTGGACGGGACCTGGGGAGGAGCTCCGAAGGGGTCTGGTGAGGCTCCAGGCCTGGAGGGGATAGGTGGGGCGCTGACGGGGGGACCTTGGGGAGGGGGGCCTGAGGGGGGAGGAGGCCCCGGAGCAGGACCCCTTGACAGAGGTCTGGCTGGAGGGACAGCGGGTGCTCTCCTCTGGGGTGTGGGGCTGGATGTGGGAGACCTAGAGAATGAAAACAAAAAAAAGCCAAAGGCAAGTTAGCTGCCCTATAAGCAGAGACAGACTCTGGCAGCTTGACACGGGCGATAACATAAGCGTCTAACGAGCGAGAATCTAAACCTGGGGTTAAGTCACCTTTCACCCTGACTCAATTGCGAGCGCATTCTCACTCTGAGTCAGTAGGTTATGGGTCGAAGCTCTGTTAACCCATCAACTTCTAACACCCACATCCCCACCCACCCCACCCATCCTCATCTCCCCCTCCCCCACCCGGCTTCACACGTAGAGAACAGCCGCTTGGGAGAGAAGGTGGAGCCTTACCATAGCACACGAGTCTGGGCTTTCAAGGAAAGGGGGAAAAGCAATGTAAAAGGCGTCAGTGGGAAGCCAATCCAGACTGACTTTACAGCAGGCTACGGATGATACCTGCCTGTGGACGCAGGCTTTTATGTGCGTACCTGCGTCCAGAGGGTATATCCTTGACGCCGAGCCAGGAGTCGTCCACGGGTGGGGGGTGAGGAGTGCTCATGGTGGTGGTGTTGATGTCCCCGATGATGTGTAAGGCTTCTTTCAGGGCGTGGTACATGCGCAGCATCTCGTCCCGGCGTTGGGCCTGCTCCGGGGACTCCTCCATCAGTATGTTCTGGTCGGCGCAGGAGTACAGCTGCGCCAGGAGCTCGGAGTGTATAAAGTCCTTTGTCTGTCGGAGAGGAGAGAAAATCTCGGTCATTCCTGAGCTGGAAGGGTAATCGAAGTACAAAGAAAGTTACAAAGAGGTTGTAGCTCCCTCCGTGCGAACTCCCAGGCTGAGCTCCAGATCACGGGGATATGGAAGCACACAGACATGGAGTGAAAGGCCACACACACAACAGGCCAGACTGTAGCCGGTTTGTATGGTACTCACATTAATTATCATTAGGTGCATGATTGTCTTGGGCATGAGGTCACGGATTGTCTTGTTGACGATGCCCATGTAGGAGTCAACCAGGTTGCGGATTGTCTCCACCTGCCGCTCTAGCTGAGGGTCCATCGAGTGCATGAAGTTGTCCCCGGAGCCATTCTCCTCGCCCTCACTTTGCTAGGACGGAGCGAGACAAGGGGGAAGAGTCACACAACAGCCAAACAGCGAGAGGGGCCGAGAAGAGCAAGGAAGTGAGGTGGGGGTGGGGGGAGAGGGAAGGGGGAATGAACAGGCCCTCGGCACACATGGACTTCAAAGAGACCACATCCCTTCTCTGGCTGGCCAGTTGGCTCGAACTCCTGTGCGGACACTTCAACTCAAACGATCTCTGCCTAGAATCGTAGAGATTTACAATGCAATGGGAGGCCATTCGCCCATCTAGTCTGTCTATTCAATCCACTGCCCTGCCCCCCCCATACCCCTTCAAGCCTTTTTATCTTTCCCATCTTACCAGCTTCTTGAAATGGGCTCTGCTTCTACCTGTAAAAAAAACTAATCTTCAGCAAAAACAAGGTAAAGGCAAGGCTAGCTGGCTGATCGCAGAATGAGGCTATGTTTTCAGGTGTGACCTGTCAATATCAGAGGTGAGTATTATCATTATTATAATAAACATGAGTCAAATCTAAGATGTCCTAAACTCGAGGCAGAGATTGTTTGGTGAGACCCATCTTAGAATTTTGATTCCGGAGTTTGAATCAGTGCAGGAAAAGCACACAAACCTCTGGTGTGGCTCAGGGAAAGGTCATGGTCTCAGTAAGTAAAACAGAAGTTTAAGGTACACGCATATTTCAGCTTCAGACAATGACTCCTCCTGTCGGCATCTCGAAATGCGGAAGGAAATTGAATAGAATCATCTAACAGTGCGTGTGGCTTAGACTGACTCGCCTTAGTGATGTGAGTGACTTGGACTTGGGAGTTCAACAAGAGATGTCATCGATGGCTGGATGTTCTCGTCTTTGGGAGGTGACTGGAACTCTATCCCCCAGGCTCTGGAACTCTATCCCCCAGTGCCTTCGTCGCCTCCTCTCTTTCCTCCTTCAAGGCCGGTCTCAAGAACTTTCTCTTTGACCGAGCCTTCAGCTCCCCTCTCGACTACTCTCTACCCCCTCCTCGCTCCCTCCCTTCCCTCCCCTCACCCTGGCCATTTCCCCCCAATGCTCGGGTCCTGACCCAACTGTACAGCGCCTTGGGACGTCCTCCCGACGTGAAAGGCGCTCTGTAAATGGAATCTTGTTGTTGTTGTTGTTGTTGTGACCTCGGGTCTTCCCAGCAGCATGGGTTTGGACGGGGAAGGATTTGAGCTTGGCTGTGAAGCACTGATGGTCAAACACTCTGCCGACACTCACTGTCCAGTCCAGCTCACACACAAAGTACAATCACTGGGATGAGGTATGGGCAGTCACCCTCGCTCACCTCATAGCCCATCTCGAGCTGAGTGGGGAATAGGAGAACGACTTACGGGGGGTGGGGGGGAAAGCATTTGAAGGTTTAAACCGCAGAGGAATCCTCGTCCGGAAATACCTCGTCTGTACCTTTACTTCACACATTGTACGACACGTTTGAGAGGAAGTTGCAAAATGACGCATTAGGTTGAGTGCATGCAATTCAGAGACTGCCCTGGAATTGAACTGGAAAATACTACAAGGCTCTGGGACAGGGCAAGAAAAGAATTGGTATGGGGGGGGGGGGGAAACTCATGCAAATCTAATAAACGCCAAAAAATACTGTGAGTGAGTGAGTGAAAAACTCTGGAGAAAGATTGAGGAGAAAGGCAGAGACTCGCAAACCCAATGGAGAGAAAGGAGGCAATGTGCAGTTCGCTTCCTGATGGAAGGGTTGCTTTTCAATGCGATGCAACTTACTTTTTCCGTATCCTGTCGCGAAGGTCATGCAAATGAAGTCAAAAAAGGGGAGGAAGAAAATGAATTGATTGAATTAGTCACTCAGTTTGATCCACTGGGGCAAAACAAAAATCCTTGTGTGGCAATGTGCCTTAGTGTCTGAAGCCAGCCTGAAGGAATAACTGGGTCTGAGCCAGGGAGACTGATGGCATTTCTCTCTCTCCTCAAGTGAACCCAACCCGTTTACACCCGTTTGGATTCTGACTCTCAGAGCGAGTTGCCAGCAGCTAGTGTGGCTCAGCCAACCCTTGAACTGAGGACACCTGGAATATCAGACAAACATAGGAAGGAAAGCACGGAAAAGTCCCAAAGCCCCATCGAGTCCATTCCTGCACCAACTCCTCCATTCCACCTCTCATCGAACACTTGAAGTCCATGTTCTCTCCGCTCCCACATTATCCAGTACGGGAGCCGAGGAAGGCAGGAATTCTAAAAAGGTTCCTCATTAAGAAATCCCAATAAGAAACACCACAAACTGGATGCAATTTACCCCACTGTGAATCATTCACCCTCAACTCAGGCGCCCAGTCAGCTGTGTTAAGCGCTTTGAGACTTCCTCCCGACAGGAAAGGTGCTATATAAATGAAAGTTCCATTGTACATCCAGATTTTCTAGGAACCATGAAAGAATTCATGTAAATGCTACTGAAGAACTCGAGTCAATTCCTTCTTCCCATTTCCCTCCCATCAATATCTTTCTCTGCTGTTTACTGGGTGCATTTGGGGGCAGTTCTGTGGCTTGACCAGATGGAAGCAACTGCATTGCATGGAAAGAATGACAGCATTTGCCATTGCTTAGAGCCGCAGGCTCCAAGTCCCAGCAGAGACAGTGCCAGAAATCAATCAGCAACATAACTCGACAGCAGAAACAGAGAACGGGAAGCATTTCCATGTCAAGTCAGTGAGCAAGGGTGCAGTACTTTTGACTGAAGCTACATATTGTCCCTTGTCTACTCCTGGATCCAAACGCTAACACTCTGGCGGAGAGAGGCAAGCCAAGGTACAAGTATCCACTCAGGCAGTCAATGTTTGGTTGAAAAGCAAATGACTTTGGAAACAAAGCAGGTATAGGGTTCAATGCCGAACTACTCATGAAATGATTCATGAATTCTTTTTCATCCTCAACCAAGCCCTGTGGCGCCACACCCTGGTCGCTTCAAGACACTGCATTGTACACTGCGTTGTGGCTGAGATTGGGAACTCAACCAAGATTTTTTTGGGGAGGAGGGGAGGGGGAGGGAAGACTTTTTTAAAAAAAACACAAGAGATATATTTTAAGGGGAAGCATCAGAGCATCTGACGTGAAATGAGAATTATCTTTGACCCTCGCAAAAAATGTAAATTTTACAGTCAGGTTGAAAAACACCAGTTTCTAGCTCGCCCCTCTGCCCCGCCCGCCCACCCACCCCTCCATCACCTCCTTTTACACAACGATACCAGTGGTGCACTGAATTAGACTGGTGCACCTCCAGACAATGCACACTCTGGGGTCCCCAAGCCTTGGCTCTTGCCAACCTGCGCCTAATACTTTCCGGAACTAGGAAAGCCGGATGTGTCCTTCCAGGGAGAGAGTATGCATTCCATTCCAATAACCTATCTATTTCTGGAATTTCCAAGTGTAGGTAGGATGCATGGAATTCTCAGCTTGGTTTGGATGCTCGTAAGCATGGTAATGGGTTTCTGTATGTGTCGGACAACCAGCTGACCAAAAAAGAAATGCACACATACCCCGACCCGCTCTGGATAGACTCCAGCCCGAAGGAATGAGGCCTTCCAGCTATCCACCTCCTCCTGGGTCTCGGAAGCCAGCTCCAGCTGGCGGTAATCCTTGTAAACATTCCTGCAGGAGAAGAGGAACAACTACAGATCGGGAGACAGAGAAATAGTAAACCAGCGAGACTATAGCAGGGAGCCAGCTACCAAGGCAGTTTTGATTGTGGCGGTGAGTGAGTGAGTGAGCGAGTGAGCGAGTGAGCGAGCGAGTGAGTGAGTGAGTGAGCAATCGAGTGAGCGAACGATTGAGCAAGCGAGCGGGCGAGATGGAATGCACATCATTGATGAACACGTTTAAAACCAAACAGGAGAAGACTTAGTCTCGCAAGCCATTTTTGTCTCAAGGTGTTAAAAGCCCGTTGCAGAATTTTGGGAAAAATTCTCCAAACCCAGTTTTAATTTGGGAGCAATTTTTTTTCTTCCCAATTAAATCTCCCAATTAAAATCAAATTTAAGGGTTTGCGTGCAATTCTGCGCGGCTATATATTTAGTAATTACTAATAAATTTTAGAGACATTTGTGCAAAAGAATAGGCCACAGAAAAGAGGTAAACACCGATGTCAGATGGTGACGTGGCATTCTTGCCTGTGAAAAAACACACATGGACTTAGCTCAGGATTTCCCATTCACAAAGCTGTGGCACCAACCTCTCACTGCCTGGGCTAACGGGCAACTTCAAAGATCAATGCCAGATGTTTGTTGTGCGGTCAGATTGCTATACTCCTGTAATCCCTCATGTAATAAGCAAAGTGTGTGAGCAGATGAGGACTGAACCCATGACCTGATTTGAAGTAAATTTATCCTAAACTACAGGCGTATCCTACCGCTGCTCCCACGATCACCTACCTAATGCCGCTTCTGGGTGCATTGGGAAATAAGAAACATCAAACAGAATACTACTAGTGGTTAGAGTTACGAAAGGAAGCTGGCAAACTCGACTCTCTGCCTCTGTCTCATTGCATTTGCCTCAAGTACAGTAGGGTGTCAGCTTGGATCAGCCAGTAGAACTTTTGCCTCTGGATCAGAAGGTTGTGGATTCAAGCCACACCTTCCGACCTGAGCTCAAAGTAAAGGCTGACACTCCATTGCAGCACAAGAGAAGTGCTTCGTCATGAGACTTTACATTAAACTGAGGTCCCGTCTGCCTTTTAAAGATCCCGGCACACTATTCAAACCAAGAAGGGAGTTTCTCCTGGTATCCTGACCAACAAACCTCAATGGCAATCAACAAAGCCATTCAAATGTAGATACATTGAAAGGCGGTCCAATGTTCTACTACAGTTACCAACTCACATCTGAACTCCCTGCCCTTTTCTTCAATCTCAAACTGACCGTAGAGCAACAGAAAGCTAGGTACAACTTACCTCTGTTCCGTGTTGAAGAGAGCAAAGATGTGTTTGCTGGACATGAATCCTTTCTCTATGTCACGTAGCTTCAGGTTATCAAGGGGCAACATGTATTTCTTCTCTTTTTCCTGCAAGACATCAAAGTTCTCAGTTAGCCTGTACCACAGTGTATCCCTTTAGGCTGTACTGCCGGAGGCAAAAGGAGGGTAATTCTTCTCCAGGAAATAGGCATGTGAGCCTCTATAATGCGTACTCTCCTCCAGCCTGGATGTTCTCCCAAGTGACTCAACATGAGATAGACTTTCATCACCACATCTGCTTAGGGTCAGGATGATCTCTCAGTTGTGTTGGAGATGCTTAAAATCCAAATGGAAAATATTGTCCAGAAAACAGCTTATAAACTAGCTGCTTTCCACTCACTGCATTTCCAATAGCAAGACACGCACACTGTAAGCTGGTTGGTGTCAGAGACGACTTCCATGCAGTCAGAACAAGCCAACAAACAAGGAGACACTTCTGATGTACTGAGGTTGAGACGATTGACTTGTCCACGTGTCAACAGCCTAGTAACAATCGCTGAACAGATCAACTTCAAGATCCTCTCACCTGTTTTCAAATCACTTCATTCCCTCACATTTCCTTATCCATCCGACCTGCTTATCCCCCCCACTCCACTCCACCACCCGTTGCTTCCGCTCAGCTGGCTCAGGCCTCCTAATTATCCCTCGTGCCCTCTGCTCCACCATCGGTGGCCATGCCTTCAGCCACTACACCCCGAAACTCTGGAACTCTCTCCCTCAAAACCCTCCGGCTTGCCCCCTCCCTCCCCACCTTCAAATCTTGCCTAAAGACCTTCTTTTCTGTTTGTGCTTATGGTCACCTCCCACCTCTCTCTACCCTTGGCTCGTTGTCAGACTCCGCCACTGTGAAGCACCTTGAGATTTTATCCTACAGTAGTTAGTTGTTAGTCGATTGGTGCATCATTTTCCGGGGGTAATAATTCCTTCAAAACAATAAATAAAATAAATAACTAAAACAAATAAATAAACAAATAAACAAATTTAATAATTTGGTCAATCAATCCACGATTGTTTGGGGGACACTGTTGTGCACAATTGGTTGCCACGTTTCGTCCACAAAATCCACAGTAAATTCACTTTACAGTACAATCTGTGAAGCCCTTTGAGACGTCTGAATGACACGAGAAAGGCGCGGTATCAAATGCAAGAATTATTATTATTATTATCATTATTGTTGTTATGCGAGCACAATTTGCTCTTGCAGTTGTCCAGTGGTGAACATTAACTTCATTAACCACGGCGAACAGCAAGTGCGAAGGGCTCCAGTGTTTGGGTGATGCGGAGCAATACAGAATACATTCCGTTCACGAAAATCAAACGCTGTTCGAAACCGACATGAGCCAAAGAACCGAATGGGTCAATTGCGGAGGAGGGGGAATCTAGTCAGTCAAAATCAAGAGCGAGCTCTATACTTTTCAAGGAAGCTCTGCAGACCACAGAGCGATGTCATCCTGCCAACTCAGCACACTGTAACGGCAGGGGTGCAAAAGTTTAAAATTTCCTTTAGTCTAGCCAAGAGGCACACCCTCCACAGATCCTGGAAGAAACGAAAATAAAATTCAGACAGCAGGATCATAACTTACACAGCTCCTCTCTCCGAGGCTTCTCTCTTTCCTAATCTAACATAAGAAGCGCTATCCTGTTTTTTTTTTAAAAAAATTATCTGTCAAAAGTTTAGTCTGGGGGTAAGCAGCACTTAAAACTGTGTTGAAAATTCCAATTTCCTCCCAGTAAGGGACTGTCTGATATTGGTAACATCTGTTGCTTTAATAAGATAATTTACTGAACTGTCTGCTTTTTCCTTGCCGAATCTGCGTAAAAAAAATGCAAACCCAGCTGTAGCATTTAAAGCAACGCAATTAAACAAATACTTAAATAAAATTGGTCAGGCTGGGGGTGGGAAGGAAATGGAATTTAGTTTTATAATGCTTCATCGTATCATAACATCTCAAAGCAATTCACAGGTAATTATGTAGTGACTATTTGTATTTTCTTAGCGAACACAGGAGCCATTTGCATACTGCGATGTCCATCAAAGAGCGATGGGATGAATGACCAACTATAAGGAGGACTGGTAACTGGAGAAGGTTAAGGGGGAGGGGGAATCCAATGGAAATCTTCAACATTCTCAAATATTTGGACGAGGGTCACAAGCTCAGAGTTGCCACTGGAAGAGTTAAGAAGGCGTCGGGGAAAAAACAAAGTCCGAAGAGGGTAATTATAACATGGAATGTGTTACCACAAATGGCAGGTGAGGCTCACATCACAGCACATTCCATGTTTAAAATGGAACTGGTCAGACAACTGAAAAGCGGTATTATAAAAAAAGGGAATGGGGAACGAGGAAAGGGATTGGGATTAGAGTGGGTCGCCTCCAGTGAGTGAGTTGGCACTAGAATGGATTCTGCTGGCTGAGTGGCCTCCTTCTGTGCTGCGCTTTTTGATGATGCAATTATCCATCTGAAAAACAAAAAACCTACCCATTTAAGACTCTTTGTAAATGTGGGCTGTGCGATTGGTGATTATGCCCCTTGCTTCCCAGGGCATGACCTCACAGAGTCTGAATCTGATATTCTCTTCAACGACAACTACGCAACTCATTCATAGAGTGGGTGTCGTGAGGAATCAGAGGCTATTGAGATTGCTGATACCCTGTATCTCCGCTAAGTATATGCTTAATGTTTGAAGCTATTTATCTAAACAACCTACATTATAAGAATAATTTTGACACCCACCAGTCTTCTTTCCCAGCAAAGGTTCTCCTCAAAACCAGGACATACACATCTGCGTATTTTGTTGGACAGCAAATCTGGAAGGTAGGTTTGCCAAGTTACAAGAACGGCGCTCCAATGTGATCTTCCTTTTGGAAAAGCTTTCCTGAGAATTAGCCTGACGTACTTCAAGTTACAAGAAAGAGCCCCACTCGCATTCCTTAATTGTGAAAAATCTATCAATTCCACTGATTGATTCCGATAGGTTTAGTTTAATTCTTAAGATTAATCCGCTCAAACAAATACTTCACTGAAGAATTCTCAAACCACAGTTCCTCACGAGAAAAAAGATCAAGTAACACCAAAGCAAGATAGAGTCAGACCGACAATACTTCACGCATGAGGCAGAATTTGCTGAGAGGAAGGTTAAAGAAACCCGCAATGAAAACATGTTGTACTGGGAAGATGGTTTCTGTGTATTCTGAAAGATTAAATGAGGTTGAAGGACCTTCTTCATTCCAAACTTCTCTTGTGACCTTGAGATCCCAGTTGAATCACCAACCGTGTGAGGTAGTAACAAAGCATCTGGCTGCTAGGCTGCCTTGCCAAAATTGTTGAATTTAAATTTAAATTGTGATAAATTCGAAGACTCTCTAGTCCTAAGAGGATGCTTCGTTCTAACACCTATTCTGCATATTCTGCTATAGACCTGCAGTCTCGTAGTTCTCGTCTTGTAGTCCACCTACTTCCAGTAGCTAAACTGGAATGAATGCCTTTACGAAGCATAATGCAAAGAATCCGTCAGTGCATAGTTTAAACACTCTATAATTCCTATCAACGATTCTTAATAAACTGTCAGATTGTGACTTCCTTTGACTTGAAACAGACAAGCGTGCAGGTTAGTCATTTGACCTCCCTCTCAGTGTTGAGCTTTATAAAATCTAACCATCATTTCCCCAGATAATGGCGTGGGTGATCTCTTTCCCCACCCTGAACTCACTCGGAGATAATCCACAATTTAACTGATGGAAACCCAACTCCCAATGTACTAGACACCAGTACTCCAAGTCATCCCATTAGTGGCGCCGAAAACCTTCCAGTAAACCACCTCTGCTTTAAAGAGAGGGGCGATTGATGCAACCTCTCAATTATAACAGCTGTAACAACAGAACTCCCGCACAACTATCAAGAGAGACATTTTTTTGACTGCTGTCATTTTGCCATAATTCTGTTTTACTTGAAGATCCATTTTTTTCCTGCTTACTGCTGTGAAAAATCTTTATCTGGATTAGAACCTGGCAATGCAAGCTTGGGTTGATGCATTGGTGGAGGGTGGGAGGGGAGAGATTATTGGAGTGACTGTTGGAGATTTTGTGTTTAAATCAGAGGAAAACACAGTTAGTTTATTTTACAGAGATCTGTGAATGGCCTGTTTCTCTGTCAACTGCATTTCTTCTTCTTACTAACCCAGAAGACCATGAACTTGTCATAGTTGATGTTGAAATGTTACTCTGGGCCCCGGGAGATTTATGAAAGAGCTGTTGCTTTTTTTTCCCCCTTCACTTAGGAAACAAAGGAACTGGGGTTTATGACTGCGGTGCCTGTCTCAAGCACACGTCTTTCACTTTGTTTGCCTACAAAGTCCCTGCACTTTACATAAACCTCTGTGAAGCACTTTGAGACGTTTTGATATTATAAGATGCTAAACCAAATGCGAGGGCATTGCAGGACAAGGCTGCTGGGAAGAAGCTTTTAAAGAGGAAGTTATATTCAAAAGGATTATCGTGTAACTCTCTCCTCTGTAATGTTACAGAAGGAAACTTAACAACACATAACGTTTCGCCCACAAAATATACAGTAAATTCACTTTACATTATTTCTGTGAATCACTTTGAGACATCTCAAAGATGTGATAAGGTGTTATATCAATCGCAAGAATTATTAATTATTATTATCATTATAACGCCCGTAACTCAATTCTTTGATTGTTCCCAGGTATTATTCCCTTAAAGAACTGGAGAGGAATAATGTTTTTTTTTACGGAAACTGCATCTGTGGTGTTTCAACAATAATAAAACAATTGTCATTGCATTTGAAGGTGCACGTTTTGACACAAAATGGAAATTTTCACTGGATCGTAGCCTATAAGACCATTTGTCTTAAAATGTAAGATTGTACACATAATTATGGAAAATTCCCAAATTCAGACATAATTCAGAAGCTCGTTAAGAAACTGTGGAAAACCAACTTGCAAACAAATGCTGAATTGAAGCATTTTTCACAGTTCTGCACCACCTTAAATGTCAGGATAAAATAGTCTTATAGGCTCAGACTAGG